CTGGAGGACCAGGAGACTGAACTTCGTCTGACCTCTACCCATTGACCTTCCAGGCATGATGAGACCTCCTGGCTTTATAAAGCCATCCTGTTTAGCTCGTTGGGTCATTGAGGTGCGCAAGCCATCACACCACGTCAAGGTGCAGTCTCGTCGTGGTGGTCTCCAGAACGTAGGTAATAAATGGACAGCTGGAGAAGCGCTGTTCGATTTGGAGTGCACCGATTAATTTTGCCTGATCGAATATATGGGGGACGCACAAAGCGCAATTGATAGACTTACAAGTTTTGTAACACCATATATATATATATGCTGAATATCCTCATGACAACAACAGAACATAATATTTTACGAATCCTCGGCAATGGCAATTCAGAGTATTACGCAGAAAACGAATTGTATCAGGGCGATTTGAAGTCAGTGAATCATAGTGAACGTCCACTCTTGTTGCGGGTAGTTATAGTAATATAGTACAAAACCCCGGAATATTGCTAATTATCATTATTTATTACGCACACATCTATCCGATAAACAGCAGACGGAGTTAGCTTCATTGTCACGAAGACCTTTTGTTCCGTGATGGAAACCGGTGACCCAAGGCCCGAATCTGGGATTGGATCCCCACTACGTTAGGCGTGTTATGGAACCGAACGTCGGAAAAGCTGTCTGCCACCAAGATTTGGTGACGTTGGCGGCCTCGGACCATAGGGTCCCAAGTACGTCGATGGCAGCGGACAAAATCACTGCTTCTGAGAAAGACAAGTATTTTAGACCGCATTGAGTTGCACAATAGACATGAACCTATTGATATGAGCACGTTTTGTTTGGTTTGTTTAGGAACCGTCGATCTGAGCCGTGAAAATTGGATTACCATACTGCATACCTGAGCTGCGAGAACCACTTTTTTCAAACCTATCACTAGATCTATGGTTGTTTAAATTTTATCGGGAAGCCTCAGTATGGTCGGGGTTGGGTGTCTAGGGTTGCGGCTGGTCATTCTTCCGTTGCACCTCTCAAAATGCTCTCATACGACCAAGCGTCTCGAATAGCCTCTGCTGAGGAAGCCCTACTCACTACCTTCTCGTGGCGGAGATGTTTTCCCACCAAAGTGAATGGACGAAGAGCCGACATCCGGGACTATAACCGGGTTGGTGGACCATTGTTAGTTCACTTAGGGGGTTGGCCAACAACCCTGATTCCTAACCAACCAAGATAAGGCGTACGAACCAAACACAACTTCCTGGTTGTGGCAGTGGTCACCGGCTCGATTTGGCATCAAGGTGTACTGGGCACCTTGAACGTTTGACCCCGTCCAAAGGGTGTATAATCCGATTAATTGAAAAGCGGCCCCCAATCGATTGCGGTTTTTGCACACCGCCCCGCCAAACTAGTAATCAAGGCATTTGAGTGCACAATGATTTGACACGTTTGTCCTATTGATGATTGCTGAGATATGAAAAGACACGTTCACGATATATCCTTTTCGGTGTTCCGCTATATTTCTTCTAAGAGAATAATTCCCATGACACGATAAACAGGAATTTGTTTATTTTTCTTTTGAAGTTCTCGCACTTGTCAAGTCTGCTCAACAACAGCATGGTCTCCGTCATGGTGATTACCAACGCTATCATCAGTACATCACAAGAAAGCTACGGCGCATGCGTAAATCCTTACATTTTCAGCAAGTAAGTTTTCAGTACTATGGTTGTGTTATTTAGAGCGCAATCTAGGGTAATCGATCCAAAGTAATTCCAAAGAAGCTGACCCCGGATTTGGTCACTGATCCCCGGTTTATCACACTCAAACTATTCGAAATTGAACGGTCTTGGGCCTACGCGATGCAACTGAAAACGGAATCTAACAGCGAGTTGAGAAAGCGGTTCCAGATGATCTCACGTCTTCGTCGGGCTGTGGTGCGCGGGAATCAGCTTTCGGAATTAATGAACGAGTTACCTATGTTGGATGCGCAAACCAAATTGGAACTTCGAGCGTACATTCAGTGGATTCACGGCATACTTGCGTTTGAGTTACAGGTTAGTTAGTTCACGATCCGACGTCTTTGCTTTCATATCCTGCCTTTTCAGGTTTGTAGACACAATTCCTAATGATTTAGTGAACGCTAACTGCTTTAGAGTTCTCTGTATGTAAACTAACTTTATCTACTTCAGTATGCAAAAGCGGAACGTCGGACTCACATACACTATGTTCTACACAACAGTTGAAAGGACGAATTCCATAATCACTGACACGTGCTGTTCATTCATAGTGACGGGCACCTCTTCCAAGGGACCTGGAGTTTAGTTACGCTATCAGCCGAGCCACCTGTGTCTGGTGTTGGGTAATCGTACTTGAGAAGGGACTACGACGTAGTGTCACGTTTCGTTGGTCAGTCTGTAGGTGCGTTTATGTGCATGTGCTTATGTGCTCTACTGCAACCCTCGATTACAAAATGAACTGCTTCGCATTCTGACCCTCGACTCCAAGGGAACCAATTTGCATCGTTCCGTAACAGTCGCCGCCGTCCAGTATCGATTGTCTGTCACTCACGTTTGCTGGGTTGTCCCTTGAACATCTGCTTTGCTGTCGACACAGATGCCCATGCGTGTGCACGGATCAGAGGAAGGCAGTATATGCGCTTGTGCATCAGAGTTAAACTGAAACTTCGATCTCGCTCGTTTGAGAATCTGATTATTTGATATGCGACCTGGTATGAGATATGAATACCCTAACCAAGAGACTCGGCCATATGGGTCGCGTTAGGCTCCTCGGATGGGGACCCTGAGATCATGGTAACCGTTGGTTAGAGACAGTAATACGGCTATGTAGCAAACAGTCATGCATTTACTCAATATTCTTACAACACCAGTCTATACCGTTTCTCCTCTGACTATGCCCTCAACATTCCATGTTTCACACATGTCTACGTTCAGACTATGTGCCAAACAAATCATGTTACGATTATTTTTATGAAAAGAAAAAGCTCCATGGTTTACTCGAGAGTACTATTCTGCTAGGTTACCCAGGCCAAAGCAGGTGAATTTTCTCGAGGAACAACTTGGAGCCTTGAATTAGCCAAAGTCTTACCCACAAGACAGCGGGGTGGTCTGTGGAAACCGAGCTCGATTAGGAACCGATGTCCATTTCATCAGATCATACGCCATTAGGACTGGGTCAAACGTCCAAGGTGCCCAATCAAGCCGGTGGCCATTGTCACAACCAGGAATGTGTGCGTGTGTGTGGTTCGTACGCCTCGTCTTGGTTGGTTTGCAATCAGGGTGTTCAGCCAACTTCCCTAGGTGAATTGCCAGTGGTCTACTAACCCGGTTATGGCCCTGGATATTGGCTTTTCATTCGCTCAATTTGGTGAGTCAACATTTCCCTACGGCAAGGTAGTGAGTAAGGCTTCCTCATCAGAGGCTATTTGAGACGCTTGGTCGTCTGGGGGCCCTTCGTGAGGTGCAAGGAATGGGTGCCCAGCCACACCTCGAGATATCCACCCCCGACCATGATCCAAATGGGCAGCCTGAAGGCAGCAACCAAAACCGCCGCACGAAAGGTCATGGTTAATGGTTGTAAAAACGAAACTGAACTGGACACGAACTCTTGATGTGCAAATGCAAGTATATTGAAACATGAAATTCTTGGTATACTCATCGTCATTCTTCAACACCAGGAGCTCCTCAGGAGAATAAACTATTGGAACAAGAAAATGAAATTGCAAGACTACTGCTATTATTCTACACGGAGCCAATGCTGCTCTTTTAGATTTTTAAATATTTGCGGGTTATTTTCAATCCTATTATGCATCTACCTAGAGTCAGTTTAATTAGGTGGCTGACAAAATGTGTCAGCTCAGTAGTAGATGAAGTTTCTGTGGATGATCGGCGCTGATCAACAACGGTACTGGACGGGAAATTTCACTGTCTATCTGGATATCTGTCAGTTAGCGATTGTCTAACGGTGTTCACATGGTATTTAGAATGGAGGTGGGACTAAAAGTCGCTTATTTATCGTTTCAACAAGTAGCAGTTCTACTGCCCTTAAAACGCGTTCGGCCTTTGACCCACTGAATATATTTTTTTGATTCGGGGTTCCCATATAGCTGTACCGGCAGGTTTTTTTTAACGCGGAAGTTATAAAATGTAGTTTACAAGCGATCTGCCAGGTGATTCACTAAGTCTGAAACATGTTGCGTAGAATTTTCAGCTGCACTTTCACCCGAGGAAACTGTATCAAATGGCAATGGGTGATTACGACTCACAAGTCCATCTACACACACACGCACACACAAACACACACACACACACTTGAATCGTTTGTATGTCTGTCTGGTGGGGTGAGCCGGCCGTTTTGTGTTGACCTTATGCTGCTCTTGATAAGCAAAGCAAAGATGTCAGTTCTTGTAACATGGATTCAACGGACGATGACGAAACACATTTGATCTGATTGTTCAGGATACATGCCAAATAATTCAGTCGTCTTATTCCGACAGGGGGAAAAGCAGACCCCTTGAACAGACCGAGTCGGTGCAGAGTGGGACAAATGAGTTCAGAAAGATGCCAGTGACTATGGCGGAGTTGAGAAATAAGGTGGAAATGCATTTGTCTTCCAGTGCTTAGTTCAAAAAAGAATAAATGTCAGTACTCTATTCCTTTGAAAAGAAAAAAATGGCATATTTCAGAGTAAGTAACCCACATGTGATGTAAACCCTTCTCTGGATAGGTAATTTACACAGTTTTACGGTACCACCATACTTATGTAGTAAAGCTTGCAAACAACCGTTTTACCCATTCAGACTCAAACATCTAGGGGTTCCTTTAGTACGCCGAGTTTACCGAAGTAGCCGCATACGCTTTAACAGGTAAACCGATCATTCGTAGCCCACCTTCCTTGGTTCACGATTAGCTCAGGCAGCAGGATACTGAGTTGATCGATCCCTACAGAAAGCATAACGGATGAATGATATTTTAGTTTTAAGCTTTCGATTGATGTCAATAGATAGTCAGCTATCTCTCCCTTCGTTGCTGTCATGCCAAAATGAATTGACTGACGATCTCTGGAGACGAATCCTGAACAAACCTGGATTAGCAATGTTTTCAGCCCTGGCACAAGCTGATTAGCACAGTGGTCACACGCACGCCTTCTATTCAATGGTTTCGGAATTCAAATCCCGGACGGGATGATGGATATGCACCACTGATTCGCTCTGATAAGAGCGAAACTCGAGTCTAGTACTTTCGAGTGTATGATTGACTAGCCGATGAGAAGGTGTGGTACGAGGAGGGTCAGTTCTAATTAATGAATGAGATCTAATTTTTACGTAAAGAAAAATACAGTTTCATTT